CGCTCGCATGGAAGTAGTGTAAAGTATAATAATGCAATAGTTACTTTGGAGCTGGACCTTTTCATTCAACATATCAATTCTATAATAAATTAATTACAAATGTGTAGTCACAGTAAATAATTCATGAAGTATCTCACAGCCTAGGTGGCCTATCTGACGTTACTATACGCCCGAATTGAGTGGGACAGCTGACTTTTCCCGTCCCGGTGTCCGCGAGAAACAGCTGGGGACGCAAAATGGTCCCACCTGCTCAAGCTCCCTGCCCCTCACCCCGCGCTCTCTAACATTTAATCCGGGGAATTGTTCCTACGAATTGACATCCATGCACATAGACCAAAGTCCTGTACTCCCCACCACTCTCCACGCTCTTCAGTGTGGTACCCGGAAATTGTCCTGGCCTTACCAATGATATAAATAAAACAAAATCCCTTATCCTACCCCCGCTCCACAAGGTTAAAAGTAACTTACGTGCTATTTCAGACTATAATTTATCTGTGAACCAAATTTCATCCATATCCGTCCAGCCATGTTTGGCGTAACTGAGTAACAAAGATACATTCGTTTGTTCGCATTTACACTATTATGATTATGAAAAGTGGTTGACAAAAAACAGGAAGAAATAGCATGTTCCCTACATGTAAAATATGAATATCTATGAAACATTGTAAAAAGTTCTCAATTATTCGTATTTCTTTAACAAGATATAAGTCAGATGAATTAGTTAACGCTCCAATGGTAATTCATTAGGAAAAAGGAATCAATCTATGGCGGTCTTGCAAAGATCAGAAAACAGAAACACAGTCTATGGACAATTACCGTAAAATCATTTATGTCAAAAAGATCATTGTCGACTTTAAAATTAATCTGATGTAACTATTGATGTTTGAATAATAAAGTTTTCGTGTAAATGCTGCTTACTCTATCCTTGGTTTCACTTTTTTGGGATGCTTCGTAATGAAGCCTAACCTGAAAATATTTTAGTATTATTTTCACCAAGGTGATTGCATGGCCATCTAATGGGTCGTCCTCAAAAAGATGATCTCCAAAATAATCAAATACCTTGGAGGGTGTCACTCTATATGTACCATTAACTAAAAGTGTTATCAGATGTCTTATTGTTTTATTATGTATTCCTGTCGTTTTGTCAAAAGATCTAAAGTATTGTCACCTTTTTTACATAAACCTATAGTATAACCATATCAGATGCTTTAACTAAATCTCCGTACTGTTTTATTTCCTGAAGTTTTTCATGTACTTGTTTCACTTTCTAATAGATTTTTGCAGTACGAATGCAGGTTTTTAGTGATTTCGCGACAAAACCCGCAATATAGGCTACAATATCTTGATTATAAACAGTTAAATTCCAGGCAGAAGATGCTAAATATCCATGGCTCAAAATATTCTCCCTAACAAGCTGTTCCGTAACAGAAAATTCCCTAGCTTCTACCATGTTTTCACCATCCTCATTATATGTGAGCTGCCTTCCACTGCCACATGTTAATATGCTTAATGATTCCGGGTGTGTGACGTTACCACCAGCTGGACCAACAATTTCCGCATGGACTAAGAGGCGTTTGTAGGCTGCCTCGAACTGCCTTGCAGTAGGGTTATTATTAAATCCCCCTTTGCTCCGAATAGCGCTCAAGAAAAGTTCAAGGTGATCCTGTGTTAGTTTGTTGGTTAAAATAAATTTGAGTAATGGTGTCTCGATCACATAACCGGCATACAAACGTTTCAAACTATTAATTGACACAAGGAATCCTAGAAACCCTGTTTTTCGACGTGAGCGCAATATCGAGATATTTGCTAGTTTAAGGTCCTTGATGTAATTGGTCATATGGCTATATTAACTTTCATTTTTTCCCTTGTCCACTGCAAATGCCGAATCCTCATTTTATTTGCCAAATGAAGCCCTTGGAACGATTGTATATCGACCAATTTCACCAAGTAACTCCACGCAATTGGTCTACCGTCGCCATCTGACAAAAACTGCTATGATCCAAAAGTTTTTCTGATTCGTTTGATCATATGGCATGCATCCAAAAAAATGAATATGTTTTCTCCACTGATGGGATGCTTGAAATGAGTAATTAAATGTTCACTCTCCAAATTTGCTCCTAAACAAGATGTCATACTTAGATTAGCAGGAGCACCATCAAATGTCACTGATGTGATCAAAACACCCGACTGGTATAAAGGGGTCAAACAATTTTTTAGTAACTCTGTCTTTTCCGCAGCAGCTAATCCAGCCAGAAAAAAGTAGCCCACAGAAATTTTCCAGGATCCATTAAGACATACCGACATAAATACAAGTACATCCTTTGCTTCAGGTAGCATATTAAGGCAGAAATTCCCCCACACTTGCTCAATCCTGACGAAGTTAACAATTATTTTTTATCAAATTTTATATCCCATAATGTTAATTCCCGTCTTATAAATCGTACGGTAGATGAATATATTTCAAGTTCTTTTAATTCAGACATTCCGCTCTTTCACTTTCATTTAGTTACCCCAGAAGATGTTTTAGATATTATAATTTCCATCAAATCTCAAGCAACTGGTTGTGATGGAATTAACATAGGAATGATCAATTTGTGTATTCCTGAAGTGTTACCTCATCTAACACATATCGTCAATTTTTGTTTAGAAAAAGGAGTATTTCCAAGTTTGTGGAAAGAGGCTGTTATAACTCCTCTGGCTAAGAATAATAATCCTACAGAATATTCGGATTTGAGACCCATTAGTATATTGTGTGCCTTGTCAAAGATATTGGAAAAAATTGTTTATATGCAATTGGTAAAATATTTTGAAGAGTACAACATATTTCCAAATTGTCAGTCTGGTTTCCGTAGTGGTCACAGCACAACATCTGCATTATTACACGTAACTGATGAGATTATCTCTAACTTAGACAATCATATTTACACTGTGCTGGTGTTGTTAGATTTCTCAAAGGCATTTGATACGGGTAACCACGAAATGCACAACATCTGCATTATTACACGTAACTGATGAGATTATCTCTAACTTAGACAATCATATTTACACTGTGCTGGTGTTGTTAGATTTCTCAAAGGCATTTGATACGGTTAACCACGAAATGCTTCTATCCAAATTAAAATACTACGGACTATCTGACGTTCGTCTTTGCTTTTTTAAATCATACTTAAACAATCGCAAGCAACGAATAAGAACAAGCCAAGGAGTTTCTCTTAGTGCCGATGTTGCTTCTGGTGTTCCTCAGGGTTCCGTGCTTGGTCCTTTACTATATTTAGTTTATACTTTTGACTTGCATACTGTATTACAGTTTTGTAGTATTCATACTTACGCAGACGATACATAATTGACCTTCACTTTTGACTCTACTAATGTGGATCAAGCTTCGTATAAAATAAATTTAGATCTGGTAAATATAACTGACTATTGCAAGGCTAACTGTTTGAAGCTCAATCCTACCAAGAGTTTTGCGGTGTTGTTCTGTCCCAAAACCAGCTATGAGCATTTTGAAAGGATGATTGATTTGAGGGTAAATAGTGACCATATTCCACTCGTCACGCATGCAAAAAGTCTAGGTGTTACTTTAGACGTAAATCTTAGATTTCATCACCACGTCAGTAATATATCTAAAGCTACATATGCAAGCCTAAGACTCCTATACTCCAATCGTTCTATTCTCAATTTCAAGACTAGAAAGAAATTGGTGGAAAGTTTAGTTATGTCTAAGCTGCTTTACTGTTTTATACTGTTTTATCCTTGTCTTGACTCCATAACAAAAACCAGATTGCAGAAAATTCAAAATTGTTGTTGTCGTTTTGTTTTCGGCCTTCGTAGGTATAGCCATGTTACATCCAAGATCTGTGAGCTGGGGTGGCTGAAGCTCAATAATCTTTTCAAGTTTCATATGTTGGTTTTTGTAAATAAAACAGTCGTTACCAAGAGACCTATTTACCTTGCAAATAAGTTAGTTCCGCGTAGGAATTTAATTTCAAGAAGGTTACGTCATGATGAACAGTTCAATATTCCTCTTCACTACACCTCATTATATCAGAGATCTTTCACGTATAATGCTGTTGAGCTTTACAATTCAGTCAGTGCGGCTAACAAACAAGAAAGTTTACTCTCTTTTAAGAAATCAGTTGGAAAACAGCTATTGGAGATGCAATCGTCTCTCAGTGTTTGAGTTGTTGGTTTGTTTTATTTTTATGACACTTTATTATTATTATTATTATATTAATAGCTCAAGTGTGCATTTGTTTCTTTTTCTTATTATTACTATTGTTTGTTTGTGTATCGAGTTTAACTGTGTTACTCTTTCGTACACAGTGAGGTTAAGTGTAAGAGTAGCATTTGGCTAAACTTCGCCTCACTGATGTATGCTGATTAATAAAGACATTTATTATTATTATTATTATTATATCTGAATCAATATTTGCCCCGATATCAACACACCCAGTGAATTTGGTTCCTGTCCACCCAATTTTTTGTCGTATAGACATTTCATCTAAAACCAAATTGCACAGAACATGTGAACCCTTTGCATCTGCTTGTCGCTTTAGAGTTTCCAAGGCTTCCTGTGTGAACCCAGGGGAACCATTAACTGATTTATACCACTTACTGATTGTACTTAAATCAGGTAAAGATTTATTAAATGTCCTTCTAACAAAAGTATACGCCTTAGGTGAGTAAAACGCAAGGGTCACTGCAAAGCTTCTTAACACAGAATCATATTTTTGTGTTAATGGACCTTTTAACATCCTTTCAAATATTTGAGAGGCTAGACCCGACAGACACGCCTGAAACAACAACAAAAGCAAATTTCAATATCTTTAATGTTGGTATGTATGAGCAGCTTGGGAATAAAATACACTTGTAATCACAATACTTCAATATAGAACAACTTTCAAGAATGACATGTTTGCATTGTTTCTATATGGTACCTGTCACATTTTGCCATTGTCTTGTGATTGAAATTGAAATCGTTCATGATTTCTGGTATAGGTGATGTCCACTTCTGACATTAAATTATATATATTAAATAACTTAAAAATTGAGGTGACTCGAATTATTCCAGTGTTTTAAGCACCATAAACAGTTAAGCAAGAAAGAAAAACCTTAAACACACGGGAAAATATAAATAAATTGGATATCACCCATTGTTTCTATATGGTGAACTGTCATATTGTTTCGTGACTGGTTCTAGGCTAGGTCAATTTATTTGTATTTTTCCTCTTTCAGGAAGTTTCAGGTTCTTTTGTTGTTACTTAACTGTCCTATTGTGGTTTTTGTTTGTTTTTCCCTTAACTTGAGTTCACTTTCAGTTGAAGCATTCATATTAAACCTTTGATTTAGCATATCAAGGAATTGCTTCTGTGTTTGGATACTATTTTTGAAATATCGGATCAAACGTTGTTTGTTTTGCAGTAACTTCCTCTGTCTCAAAATAGTGTCTTTCATGAGACGAAAATTCCGTTTTCTCTTCTCAGGTGTTGAAAAGTCGCTACTGGTCAAGTCTCCCACAAACATCTTCCTACAATAACAAGACCATGATTATGAATGTTGTGAATGATTAATTTTATAGATGACAAAGAGCTATCAGTGTTCAGTCTGTTTATGTATTTATACAGTGATTTTCAAAAGCCCCCTCTCCTACGTATTTTTTGAATGGGCCAAATTAGCAAATAAGAATTTGGGCTAATGGAATCAATCTTCTTCTTAATTAAAGATCTGTCTAAATGTGCAGTGAAACTTGGAACATTCTGTCATTTCTACGCTAAAATATGTGCCATATTTCAACTTGCTTGAAAATACGGGAGGTCTTTTCCAGAATCCATACTTCCACCACTACAGTACTAGAAATAGGTCTAACCTCGTATCAAACACATTCACCATGATTACTCCAGAGGAATGTTGAATTCTCGAAAACCAAAATTTGGAATAAGATACCTCTCAACTCTTTCAAAAAAATGTTGCATACTATCCTCTGTGACAAGGCCTATTATCAGGTCCAAGAATTTTTGGAGGACAATGATTTTAATGTCATCGCATATCTGTGATATTTACTTTAGGTAGTTTAAGCTTGTTTGTAATGCATATTTGTATTTTATTGTGTATTTGTATTAATTTTTGACAAGTTTCACATCACCACTGTGATTACATGCAACAAATAAAGTTTATCTATCTATAGACCACAGCTTGGTTAGAGTACATAAATGCTCAAAAATCAACCAAAGTTCAGAAATGTTTGAATAATTCTCTTCCCCTGATCTTGCTTTGACCTGGGGGCTCAAGCCACATTGGACTCAGGTTCTGAACTTCCTCTGGGTCCATCTACATAGCGTAAGGTGGCCTTGGGCAAAATAATCTAGAAATTCTTACCATTGAGAGGAAACAACTGGCCAAATGGGTTTTGGAACAGCACCAGGTTTTAGCCAAGTTCTTCCACTAGCATCAGTAATGAAATCTTGTGGAAAAAAATGCTCTGAGCATATTATAACCACTTTGTGGGATTGAGGTTCTAGCTCGGTAAGTTCCAAGAAAGATATCCATTTCTCTCTCTGCTTTTCATTTGCGGGTAGTCTGGAATGAGAATTAGAAATTCAAGTAAGATGAATTGTACGAACATTTGTGATAAACGATATATTTATACAAGCCCTTGGGTAATTAAAAACAGCATTTTTTTCCTTTGATTTAAGAATGTTATGAAAATCTTTCTAAACACTATTTTACATGAAAAAAAATATAAAATACGGAGCGGATCCGGAAAATGACGCACTCCACGCCAATGAGTAGAATAGTAAACATAACCTTACCTGTGAAAAGATATCCCTTCACTGCCTGCTTTCCCAGCCTCAACCTTATACAAAAAATACTTTTGTCTCACCATAATTTAATGAAAAACTGAAAAACACAAGAAGATCAAGCGTATAGCACGAGGATAAAAGCGATTTTCACATAGAATGATAATGGCGGCCAAAACACGGAACACGCACGATGACTGACTCTTACTACAAGGCTACTACAACCAAGTGCAGCGTTGACAAATATGCACAAAATACTCTGATTTGTAATATACCTCGATTTGTATTAAAATTCACGTATTCTTCACTTGTTCTATAAATTATTATAGGTATATAAGAATATACATAAATTACTTCTAGAACAACCTTTCTGCAACAGAAATAGGTCATTTGGCTAGTTGTGGAGCCAATGACAAAAGGACCGTGGGGTCAACCTATTTGGCAACATCACAAAAATGAGGGTTTGTTGTGGAGGAAGAGCTTTTGTAAACACTCCAGGTCTATTTGGGTAAGACGTCAATGAGTAAAGCTAACACTAATACTGGTGTACCCACTATGCCCTTATCCGCTTTGGTCGAAACAACTTTGGAGCGATCTTGTTTTCTATCAAAACTGTCGATTCAATCCATTTGATTTATACGACTAGAAAAGACCATTAAATATGAGATGGATATCTTAAAAAAGAAAACCGTGAAAATATGAAACTGGGATTATTATTAAGTACAATATTTATTTTGCAAGATCAGTCTTTTTCTTAGAAAATCGCAATTTGTTGATGAATATGTGTAGGTACTCGTATGTACTTAGTTACTATGTTCGACCCACAGTTTGCATGTAATCAGAATATACGCCATACCCTGCTACCCTACTTCAGTTAGAGTCTTTCCCAGGATTTTGCAATCTACTTCACTCAAAGGTTCTAATTATGTTAAGGACACCCTTAACCTTATATTTCTTCTAGTTTTCATCGAAAGATTAATTTCATTCATTACAAAAACGAGATGGGTGTCGGTGTGATTTTCTAACCTGATTACTCCGACCGGCGCCTGTGTGAAGATGCCGTAGTGGTCCAAAAATCCTCCATCGTAGGTCTGGTTGTATATCCCCGGCCACATTTTGGTTACGTTGCACTTATAACACGGAAATTTTGAAAGAAAACCGAACACAACAAAAACGACGAGTAACTTAACACACCACTGACACAGAAATTTTGACAACTTGGATGAAAGGTCACACACACTGGATATTTGCATGCAGACTATATCCCTTTGACTTTTTTTAGCACAGGCTTATAGTCCAGTTCACACCGATATATTTGAACGGGATAGCCACATTAATGGTAGTGTGGTATTCGGCAAATGATGCGAGTAATTCTGATTTCTAATCCCCTATTCATGCTCTGTTATCCATGCAAACACAGTCCGAAAGAAAAAGGTCTAGAGATGTGATATCCCACCAGTTTTCGTAGTGAATCCATTCTTTTACGGGCTGTGCTGCAAGTAGCACCCGGCCATCTTAAAACCAAATGCTCTCAAGATATCATGGACATGAGTTTCAGGCAGCAAATTGTTTTTTTATGATGGTTAGATAACAGCTGCCAATTACCACTCGAAATTCTTGTTCGCGTCATCGACAGCCGACATTTCGAAGAAGTAACTTAAAAAAACTGAATGTCTCATATGCTTCTTTAATTCCATTATGAAGGTGATCCGATGAGGTTGATTATATTTATATTTTTAGATGGCATTAAGTAGGTTGACTCTGCACTTACCACGCGGCACACCCACCCGTAAATAAAAGTTAGCTATGAGCATAAATAAGTAACAGAAAATAAATATATCAAGGACGTTGATCATATTTTCGGATATTTCATGATGTAAATGCAAGACGCTCACTTCCACCAGTCTGTTTATTGGCCATTTTGTCACTGGGTATAATCAGCAACTGTTGCAACGATTTTAATGGAAAGTGAGTGATGCAATAAACTAGTATTATCTGCTACATCTCCTCTTCCATTAGAATCGGTAAAATTACTCAGTGACAAAATCGCCAATAGACAGACTGATGGGAGCGAGTGACTTGATCTTCATAATGAAAAAAAATCACAAATTATCAAAAAATATCAATTTTCCATGCCTTTACGCGGTAGTATTCTTGGTGATGGGTAATGATTATGCAGTTATTTTCACGCGAAATAATGTTGTATGCCGATTAAGAGGACCACATGCATATGTAGCGTCAGGACTACGTCGGGCGACTGCTTGATACGAATTTTTTATACTTTTACCAATAAAATGTCCAAAAAACCTAAAAGATCTTTTTTGTACCAAATTTTATTTTCTACAAAATGTAGTAGTGTTTTATACTCTTAGGTTCTTAGTTTAGCCATTATAACCGAAAATATCATTACATGTACCTTTATCCTTAATTTTCTTGTAAGCTGTTGACCAATACAAGTTTTTATAAAAGCAAAATGATGGACAATTTAATTAGCCCCAAAATCGTTTCTATATTACGCTTTTACATAGGATCGATTGTCTCTGACATTGTCAATTAAACGCGTTTATCAAAATGACGGCAAATACTCCAGCCCTGTCATGATGCCAATTTCAACTTAGCAAGCAATAGTGTAACGATATCACTAAAAAGTTACCGTTGCCCAAACTGTAAGATTTCCTTATATATAATCTCCCTATTTAATGGCATAGACTATCAAAACATTAACAACTTCATGTTCCCCAAAACAGAAAATGACTTTCCTGGAAAAACGTTTAGCAAATGTGATAACTAGGTAATACACGATACCATGTCATTGACTAAACATTTTTCAATTTTGTAGACATGGTTTTTGAGCATTCTTTCTGACAAAAAAGGGCGCCAATTGGAAATGGTCTTATGTGACTGAATTTTGTATATAGTTAGAAGTAGGCAAGAGAAAAACGTGACAAAATTTTTGGGTAAAAAAATTAACTGTATCGCTAGAATCCGCTAATAATGTCTTCGACTAACCTAGTGCCACATACATTCTCGTACAGTTATCGTAGCGTGCTTCTGATGAGGTACCTGATACCAAACTCAATGCGAAGTGTTGCTATTGTTGGTAGAGGATAATGTACAGAGGTCGCTCTTCGTCTTAACATTTAAAAATATTTTTCGATTGGGAACATTTAAACGATAGTCAACTTCATCTCAAGTTTTTAAGTAAAAACGTGTTACTTGGTCTAGGGTGTAACAGCCTTTTATTTGAAAACTAGAGATGAAGGAGCTCCATTATTGTTTGATGTATTGGGAGCAAGACAAGTTGCCTCTTAGAGGCTGCCCCATTACCTTGGTCATAGATGATGGGAACGGTATAGATGCGGTTCAAGCAGAGTGGACAAGTTTCGTTCAGTGAGGTCTGCAGCGTGCAGATCGGCAATTAAACAAGCGAGAAGGTCTTGCTATCCTGATGACATTCGCAAGCGATGAATCTTATTCATGAAGAATAAATGAACTTCAAGAATTCCGCAATGAACAATGGAACGACTTTCTGCTGGGATGCTTGACTCAAGTAATCATCTCTGGAAAGTGGCGAAGTAGCTCATAAACGAGAAGGGAGATCAACTCCTCCACATCCACGGTTCTGGCGGCATAGTCTTCAGACACTTACACATGTTCAGCATAGTGTTTTCTCGCAAAAACGCATATGCGTAGTCTGTAGGTTTTGCAGAACAGAAATGTCTTACCTGAGGGACTACATCAAATAATAGGCGCAGTTACGTTATAGTCAAGCGAAATCGCACAGCAGCAATACTTGTTAACAATACCACGGCACCCCTCTAACTTACGCACATCCTCATCGTTGCTCTTGTCCCATCCGTCCTGTCCCCCTGGCTTCGTCTGGTATCTGGATAACCAGGCCTGAAGGACCTTCTGACCTACAATACTTTAACCAAGAGCAAGGACCCACAAATAACTCTGTCGGACAATGACGAATAGAAGAAGAAGGTGGAGTATGATTAAATATATCTATAACATGAAATAAGCGATTTTTTCGACATGTGCAAGATTTTCGCCCATCTAACTCGACTGTAATTATATCAAACCCGCCTAATTAGTATCCCAAAATACCTAGCGCTGTATACCTGCAGTCTGCTACAGGCGTCTGCAGCATTCTCTTCTGCAAACCGTATGCGGTGGCATTCATTTGCTCTGGCAAATAATATTAGAGCCTTCAAAGATGTCGTATGCGACTCAAATTAGACCTCAAGACATGCATACGTACATTCAGACGAACGTAACGTAGGTGCATTCGCCTTTGGCAAATGTCAGTGTGCTATTGATCAGCCTACTCTCTGAGCTGCTGATTAACCTCCATAGTAGCAATACATCCTCATAGTTTATGTGGTCGAAAATAAACAGTGATGTCAAGTTGGCCGGCTACCTGTTCACAATTCTACATAATACTACATACTAAGTGACATATAAAATGCAACACCCAGAATTATTTATTTAATTTTGATAGAAACTTGTAAACATATTTGCTGTCATGGAAGTATGCGCTGATAAAATATATAACGCATTCCGAGCCGTACTTTTTTTTGTAAATGCTTTTTTTGTCATATCAGGATCCGAACAGTATGAATGTGTTAACTCTGTATTCAGTAATTTTTCTGTGCCGGTTCCACTTGTTTCATTGCATTATCATTTATTTCATTGTTGTTTCATTGCAGTATCGTGTCTGGAGTTCGCAAACGCGCTAATTTCACTCAAATTTCCGAGTTTGAGAGCGGTCGAACAATCGGGTTACGTGTAGCCAGATTTTCTTTCAGAGAAATCGCTAATCGGGTGAATTGAAACGAAGCTACTGTGATGAGATGTTGTTGAGCGTGGTTCCAAGAAGGCCAAATCGACGAGTTAGAGGTACTGGACGTCAAAGACGGATTACAGAGCGACAGGATCGTTATTTGAGACAACTAGCACTTCGAGAGTCGTGTTCAGCGATGAGACCAGATTCTGTTTGGGCTCACACAATGGCCGTGCAAGACTTAGGAGGAGACGTGGTGGAAGTAGTAGTATTAAGTATTCCATCGAACTGCATATTCATCGCACTGTGAGTGTTATGGTATGGGATGCCATAGCTTACGGCTGCACGTCACGATTAGTGCTCATTCGAGGCAGCATGGCTACCCAGCGCTATATCCACGAAGTTTCACAACCACATCTACTTCTCTTTTTGAAAAAATTGCAAGATCCTCTTTTTCAGCAGGACAATGCATGAACTCATGTCGTCCGTGTTAGTTTAGACTTTTCAGAAGCGTCAGGAGTAAATCTGCTTCAGTGACCTCCAGACCTTTCCCCCATCGAACATGGTCTGGGACATGATGAGAAGAATGTTGCAAAATTCACCGCACCCTCCACAACACGACCAGATGGCCTGGGATACAATACATCAAGAAGACATCAATTACCTAATGCAATCAATGCTGCGACGACCTAACGAATGTGTAGCGAACAGAGGAGCTTCAACACATTATTAACGTTAAGATGGGATATCTCAGCTATTTTGCGAAATTTTGAGTTAAAATTTCAATCAGTTTCTATTTAATAGTAGATATATAACTTGTAAAAGTATGATCAAAATTACAGCACTCCTAGCTGGTGTTGCATTTTCTATGTCATTTAGTATACTTGCCTAGTTTGCGGAGTGAGCGATATGAATAATGGCTTCTGTTAAGGTTGAAAGATGTTTCCATTACTATGACGTTCATTGGGGTATTCAATAATTTTTAAATATCCGGAAATATACAGTTCAGTTGTCAGACTGACCTACTGGAATCGACGGAATGAAGTTTTAAATGTCATTCATCATTTGCCTAAGTACTGTCGATTTCAATCGCTTACTTGATGGGAGAAGGTCTACTTCTAATTGGAGGACTGCTACTATTGGTGAATGTGAAAAACGAAAGTTTGGTTGAGTAGCAAGACCGCATCTGGTTGACTGTATTGGTCTGCATGTGTATAAAAAAGTGATATTTGATAAGTTGAGAACATTATTAATGACTATGCTGCTAATGAAGTATATCTATTATCTGTGCCATACGAGTTATTTGTGTTGTTCTTTCTGAAGAGAGGTTATGTTCAAAGTTATGGTTGTGTTTTTAAAAACTTCACGAAGAATTAAAAAAAATCATTACCGCGCCCGCGTTGTGTGTACTTTACTGTTAGCATGTATATGAGTCGTAACTCGACAGTGTACAGTGAATACAATTCTGTTATTATTAAAACCATATATTATGATCGTTTGAAGATTGTCTATGTTCTCCTACATAACAAGGTAGACAGTACATTATTTAAATAGATTTAGCTCTAATTTTGGTAGTTCTGTTGAGAAAGAATGAAAATGAAATCATAACTCAGTTTTGATAGACCTCATTGATAAACAAGAAGTAAATGGAAGCATGCTGGAATAAGAAATAGATTCAGCGCTGGTATTTCAGTCAGATATACTCAAAATCAAATGTTATATTGTAAAAGTCTTATTAA